CCACTATTGAACTGGAACTTTGAGCTTGCAATTAATGGAGGCTCATGTGGGAGGATATCATTAAAAAGAGGTGAATGTCATTTACGTTTGAAAAGACTAACTCCCTCCATTAGCCTCAGCTGCAAGCTAGTTGCAGTCCAATATCGAGAATATGAATATGGTCCAGTAGCTATTGTACTTATGCCTACATCAATCATGAAAATTTGCCACGAGTCGAAAGAAATCCAAATAGAAAAAAGTAATACAAAACCGTGTGAAACCTGTTTGTTTCTAAATATTCTGACAATTATAATATAATATATAATAACTATGGCAAATTACATATTCAAATATTTATTATTAATACCATTTGTTTTGGCAAAATCTGTTCCTCAGTCCCCTTTCCTACCCTTGTTGTAAAGACCTAACACACATTTCTTCCACAGTTCTTTTAAACTTGTTTTCATGTTTACCATTTCAATGTATGGAGCACTATCATCAACACTTTCAATATCCATTTCGGAGGGTGACTTCCCATGAAGTTCTTTTTCAAGTTGTTGCCCAGCTTCTTTCATCCTCGGCAAAAAGTCCTTGACTCTGTTTAAGACTGTTACATAGGAGATCATATAATTAGCATGGACAAAGCCTCTCTTGTGTATGCAAAAAATGCTTTAAGTGACTATGTTCAGTTGAACTTCACCATCTGTAACTCAATATATTTTTTCAGTCACCTACTATCACTCATCTCAAACCCCATTTCTCTTGAGAGTTCAAAATCGCAGGCTGCAAATGTAGTGATATTTTCNAGAAATAAACTCATCATTATTGCGAACTACCTGAAGGTGCTTCAACCTTGTATATCTTTGAAGGAACTCTACTTTTCGCCTTGCTCTCTCTGGTTATCAGAAGCTTGTAATTTTCTACAACGAAAAAAATTTACATGGTTTGCAACCTGCAAGCTAAACCTTCTTTTAGGAAGAATCCACCTATAGCTAGCCAACTTGATGCAGTTTAGTTTTGAACACAGCTTGAAAACGTTACCAGGTTTGAAAGGGAGCCGTAAAAGTTCATCAGAATGAGAAATATGACGTTTTTCTCCATCACTGCAAGACGCCATTTTGGAACAAGATCGCACGCGGTATTTGTTTATTGCCCAGAAAGCATCGCGCACGTGGGGCTGGTCTCACCGGAAATGACGTCAATTGAACCGATCGAAAAGCACAGACGCACAGATGGTTTCCGAGAAATATGGCGGACTGTGAAGGGGATGAAATGTTCCTTGCAAGTGAATATGAAGGCCCTGTTTTACCTTGGGATCGTTTTAGAAGATGGGTGACCTGTTTCTGTGTTGTAACGTTTGATTTAGAGCTTGGCCAAGCGTTAGAGGTAAGCACCAGCGAGTGTTTCGTTCATTGCGTTCATGCTTCGAGAAGCGCGCAATCTTGGGCACTGAACGCAGAATATTTAAGCATGTGGTTATGGCAGATTTGTTGCGGCTTGAATTGTTTTAATGTTATGATTCGTATTTACTCTGTTACAGCTCATTTACCCCGCTNATCATGAATGTAATATTTTGTCTTTTAGTCTCCTGATTCTATCACCCCTTGACCGGATGAGTCAATTTTTGAAATCTCCATTTCTGAGCCCAGATGAACATGAGGTTGTTCAAATTAAATGTTAAATTATAACTCTGAATTTTGTTTTTTTTGTGTGTTTCACAGGATGCATGGGAGATACCCAGTTTCATTTTCGTATCAGGTGTAGTCCTCGCAGTTGTCAAAAAAGCCATCTTGTGAAGAGATATGAAGATGAGGTCCCTTTAGCATACAGGGTAATCCAAGGGTTAACTCATACTACTCAAAATATAATTTTGATTACTTACATCATGCATTGTTTACTAATAATTTTATAAGTATAATTAAAACTTCTTTTAATGTGAGTTTTGAGAAGTTCTAAAGTCACAGTCTTATCTATGGTGTAGACCTCTCTCTCCTCCACAGAAGCCTCTTTCATGCTGCCCTGCATGCCTTCTCACTCCCACTTCACTTCCTCCTTCCCCAGGGAGACACTGTGGAGGACGGGGAATATAGACTGTTAGTCTACATGTAGTTGCATTCTGATCATCTGTTTCAGTGCAGCCAATTACTCACGCCAGGGTTCATACTGGTCATGTAAAACCTGGAAAGTCATCATAGAATTTATTATTTCAATTTCCAGACCTGGAAAGTCATGAAATTTAAGTGAGGGTCATGGAAAGTCATGGAAAAGCAATATGCTTTCTGAGAATAAAAAGGCAAAAAGATAAAAAAATTGAAAATAATAGCAGACAAGTTAGAAATAGGCTTTAATTTCAGTAGAAATAGCCACAAGCATGCATTTTATGCATTATAATACTGGAAAATACTTTAAATAAAATAATGATTAATCAAATGACTGTTTTAATACTGTGAAAATTACGGCTTAGCTTAGGTCATGGAAAACTCAGAAAGGTCATGGAAAAGGGCATGGAAAGTCATGGAATTTGAAAAGCTTAAAAGAGTACGAACCCTGTTACTGCAGAATATTTATTGATTTGCAAAACCCCACTCTGATTTCTGATAAAGTTCTATACCTTTGCCCATAGAAATGAACCAAAAAGGCAGTATGGTGTACTTAGGTGTAAGTTATGCATGCACAAAAAGTAAGACAGCATGTACACAGAAGATACTTTTAGTAGCCCCTTACACATTTTCTTGAAGGAAAATAAGACTTTTAATAACTTATTAAATGTTTGGTAGGTGCTTTTTGTTTTGTTTGCTGAATTCATTTGACACTTCCAAACTAACTAAATATGCAATGCTTTGTTCATGTCACGTCTAATGTGTAAGACGATGAAAATAAGAACAAATTTTATTGTATCCAGCAGAAAATAACTTACAAATATATTAAAAGATATCAATATAATTATAATAGGGTACTAGCACTCTGAAATAACCAAAAACCCAACTAACTCTTACAACCAAATGGAAAGTCAAGTGTGGTATAACTGTAATTTAGTGTTTTGAACATATTTCTGTGCCACTTGTTTTCAGAGTGATCCTGCCCACTTTTATGGCTTTGCTTATTTCCGTCAAGTTAAAGATCCTAGTATTCAGAGGGGATATTTTCAGAAGGTTTGCTATTTCTTAAATTTTGTTGCAAAGTGAAAGATGTTTACTAACAGTAGTGGGCCATTCCAGGAAATTCAGAAAGGAGGCATTGTGTGATTCCAGAAAATATCCATATCCCCCCCGTGGAAGGGACTGGAAATTCCAGAGGGGTAGGGGTGGGTGTCAAAGGCCCCGAAAAATCCAGAGAGAGAAGGGGGGTAGGGGTAGAATGCAATATCACCCCATACCCACAAGACATCAACATTCTACCAAAACACTCGCAAAATAGTTGGTTAAGATTAAAGAACAAGAAAAAGGAGGAGGTTGTGACTTTGGTCCCTTCCTGAAAATTGTTTTTTTTTTCTAATTATTCAAAGTGAATATTGTCACTCGTCTGCAATAACACCATTTTAATTATTATAATTTGTATCTTTCTGTTGTGTTTCAGTCAGTCGTGCTAGTTTCAAGGCTACCATATGTCAACTTGTTTTCCGAGGTGGTAAGTAACAAATCAGTAATTAAATATTTCAGCGTGTGACCGGTAAAATACATGTTGTGATTTGCAAACCAGCAATTATTGTTTTGGGCTTAAAAATTTTGAATCGATTGGAAAATAATTTCACTTGATGTTACAGAGAGGGAAGGGAAAGTATTAAATATTTCAACCTTTGACTGGTAATTAAAATTTTTGTTGTGGTTAACAATATACTTTTGTTTTGGTGTAAAAAGTTTGAATCAAAGAATTTCACTCGACCTTTTTGAGCGGGGAGGGAAAGGAAGATTACCACAAGAAAATAAGCCTTGTCTGAGTTAATTTAAGTGCAGGATCATTCCTTCCAGAATCATTCTCAATTATGTGTTTGACTTAGTAATGATATTGCATTGTGAAAGGCACAGTGGAGTAAGGGTTGGATACACCAGACTCTGGTTTGCGGCATCCAGAATCAAGCTCTAGCTCTCACAGTACGTCTCTCCTCCTGGGGTATAAATGGGTAAAGGCAAATTTTATTCCAGGGAATAAGTTAATGTGATGGAATGGTGTCCCATACAGGGGTTTGGGAGGGGGCGGGGGTGGAGTCGTAATACTCTTATGGTCACTTTGTGCTATAGGAACCTTGAGTTACATGATCATGTGCCATAGCCTGAAGGACCCCATGCAGTAGGCTCAAACACAGAACCTCCCTTTTACATATTTACAAGTAATCANATGAGAAATGTGTTTTTTTTTTTTTTACTGCAGCTGGCAAAATTTCTGGCTACTGGGACATTTTAGTAGGAGCTGGTTGTCTTATATGTTGCATTTTGGTGTGTTTGTGTTACATGTAGGTTCGAGTTCCATCCAGAGGAGACAAACCAGGAGCAGTGTCATCACCAGACAATCCTCTTGTTGCTCACATTGTGGTGAGTTAACTAAACTGTGCTAAAAACTGTACAGACTTGCTCAAGTTATTCTTACTGTTATAACAGACCTCAAAATCCATCAAATATTTTTGCTCGTACATTATTGATCTAAACGTGTCACATGACTGAAAATGCCTGCAGCTAAAACTGGAGAATATGGGAGTGATATTCCCCAATTTTCAAAACTGTGTGTGTCGCAAAAAATATAATAGCCTCCGGCATGAAAATTTGCTCCGATATTATCTGTTCCTCAAAGCTTACAATTTTCCTCAAGCTATGTTCTCAGAAAACTGCTTGCTTTTCAGAACAGACATTGTTTGCAGACAAATATGAGAGCATATTTTTGTGCCAAATGGAGGCTATTGTTTATTTATTCATCAAATTCTAAAAATTTCAACAGGACATGAAAACTTTCTAATTTATATTTGATCTGGTTTTTAAAGTCCTTCATACATGTCATTTGGGTCAGTGCAGTTTGGTTTTATTTACTTTGATTTAGTTTTCAATGCAACAGGCGAATATCAAAATGCCATTGGTTAACATTGGTCCACTAGCACAGTACTAGTTAATTGTTAACTGATATATTTAACTGCGTTTAATTTCATCATGTGGGAGCTCCAGAAGGAGGATTGTGATAGTAATAATTATTTATTTCAATATAAAAGTCTTGGATGTTGTTCTCGTAGCTTCAAACAGAAATTAACAAAACTGTATTTTATTTTTAAATTTCAGCCTCAAATGCCCTCTCCTAAAGTCATTCCAACTTTGAAGGATCCAGACATCTTTAGGTACAGACTGTAAATAAATTCTAAGTCTTACTACTGCAGTTGCTAAGAAAACAGTAGAATAAAACAGCTCTTCAATATTATAGATCTATTTTTAAAAAACTGTCTTTGACATTTTGTTTTCAGATGCTTACAATCAGTTCTTCCTCACATTCATCTCTTATGGGAATTAGCACTTACTAATGAGGTATTGATATCATAATATTCTTATATTCACAGTGTAGACTGGGGAAATTGTTATAAGATAATGAAAGCATTCTTATCAGTCTAATCACAATTATAATATTTGTAAGTACTGTATGTTTACATTCAATACTAATTATTGTAAATTAATTACTAAAGTGTATCCAGGACTTTAATTTGTGGCCTGATTCACAAGATTTAAGACCGCTTATTACATCTGTAGCTCAGTGTAGTTTGTTCTAATTGCTGCTTTATAAACTCTGAAGTTGAACACATTTAATTTTATTAAGATATACCCATCATGTGTGACAGTAAAACTCTGCATTCTATCCGTGGACAAATCTATGCTTCTAAACAAAAGATCTGAACTTGTAACAAAATGCAGGCATGAGAATAAGAACTTTCTATGGACCCAATCAGAAGTTTACAGTATTGCTCCACATGCCCTCCATGAGTCTGTTTAAATTTTGTTTCAACTGCCACCATGGGCACAGTCTGATGATTACTTTAAGCCTGAAGCTCGAGTAATGGTAGTTTTTATCATAATTTGTATTATATTGTAATAATTCTTTATGTACTTGTTATCAGCCAATTGTTGTCATGGCACCTTCTCCTACAATCTGTTCTGAGACTGTCCAAGCTCTTGCAAGGTAAATAAAATGCTCATTTTCAATACAATTGAAGTTTACACAGCAGATACAGCTCAAGGCAGCGAGCTCACACCTTTGACCTTGAATGTTAGCTGAGGGTTTCATCAGCTATTTTTCAGAAAAAAAAAATCATTTTGAAATACTAACACCATTTCCTTGGGTATCAAATGTTGGTTAATATTGCTACTGACCAATGCTGTATATCTCGTATAAATTTTATCCTGCAGAGAGAAGCAGTTATCTTACTAATAGCGCCACAGGTTACCCAAGCAGACTACCTCCAAATTTATCACCTTAGTCGTATTGAATAAATGACTGGTATAATTGAGTAGCCCTATCCCCCACTCAGGAGCAAGGAACCAAGCATAATTGAGTAGAATTCTTATTTAAGTAGAATTTATTATGTGCCTGCTGACTATGTTCTTTCTGCTTGTAGTTTGATCTCTCCATTACACTACTGCTCCGACTACAGACCTTTCTTCACAATCCATGATACAGAGTTTAAAGAATACACAACAAGAACACAAGCTCCGTAAGTAACAGAATGGGTAATATTCATGTAACTGTTTAGAACTGATTTGGAAAAAATACAAGAAGCGAAAGAGAAGAGATACTTTGCAAACAGATAGCCTAAAGTTTGCAAAAATCTGTAAGCATAAGTTTTACACAGCATTTTTTTTTTGGAGATACAAAGCACAGCAGGTAATTTACCTGATCAATATGAGCTCAAAGTTTGGTTTACCATTAATTAATAATTATATGATAATCTGTGGTTGCTAAAGCTCTGCTTACTACATGTATATGTGCTTCGGCATTGTTCTTAAATTGAAATTTAACAAAGATGTTTTTAAACACTGTTTTGTGGTGTACACACAAAAGGAATTCAGTGCGTGACTAGTAAAATTAAGCGGCCATTAGTAGGGAGAGGTATTGCTTTGTGACCCAAATAAAGACTGCAAAGGAAACTATAGTAGCATCCGTATGTCTAGGTACAAAAGTAACAGGGAATGTAGGGTCATGGCTTAACAAGAGCATCCTGTATTTCAGGCCTGGCGTAATTCTTGGTGTTACAAATCCCTTCTTTGCTAAGACTCTTCAACACTGGCCACACATGGTGAGAATAGGAGAAATGTCTAATCTTGGTGAGTAGCAATGATCTGATTGTATCAGGGTTCATACTCTATGAAAATAATCATTGATGAATAAAAAATAAATTGTCCAATCTTTTGATGAGTTTTCGGTAACATTCATAAGGTATTCAAAATAAATGACTGAAAAAATCTACAGCAATGAACATAGTACTTTTTTGCCCTTAAATTGCTCAGTCTACTGTCTGCTTCTCATGAAGACAGTCCGAGATGATGATTGATAAATCGTTTATTAAACTCACTTCAGTGCATTCTCTTGATGTTAAATTTAAGGAGATATTTGGCAATTATTTTCTCTTTTGAGAAAAGAGCGTTTTATCAGTGATAGTTCCCACCCCAGGTATAGAGGGTGGTATTTAAAGGGAGCTCTCAGATTACATTTCATAGAAAAATATAAAAAAAGCTGTAACTTCGCATTTTATCTTGATCACAAATATCTTGCATGCTGTTACTGCATGGGACTACCACAAATTAAATCAATATTTTCAGGCAAATGAAAATGTAATTGAAACCTTGATTCTTGTTTCACAATGTGAAGTTATGTGTAAATCACTCCAGGACTGCATTTAACCCTTACCCAGTTCAGAAGTTGATTATTATCTTGTCTTTTCCAAGTAATATCATCTAGAAAGTCTCCTGGTGTTGGCCAAAATGCTAAAAGGACGCTGTCTTCAAAGCCAGGTGAACTATTTCATTTGGCTAGTAGCACTGAAGTTGATGTAACTCTGTAACTCTTGTTGTTGCTGTATATAGTGATCAAATGTAATGGTGAAGGCTCAACTATCCATTCAGTCCTTTGTTCCTACTTGTCTTCCCTCATTCCTTCATTTTTTTGTTCCTCTCTTTCTTCATTTCTTCAGTACATCCCATAGTTCTTTGGTGAATGACTTCGTTTTTCATTCTTACCTTGCTTTGTTTTTCGTTTTTCTTCCATGCATTTGACATTTTCTCTTCTTTTCTTCCCTCCCTTCTTCAATCGTCTATTCCACTTTCTCTCTGTTTCTCCATTCCTCCCACCCTCTAGGCTGCATTCCGTCTTTCCTTTCTTCGTCAGTGCATGTGTTTGTTCCTTATGTGTTCATACTCTTACCCAGTCGATATTAACGGGTCAGATTTGATTGTTTCAAAGAGAAAGTGGTCTGGATCGAGTGGAGCATGCANGCATTTTATCTTGATCACAAATATCTTGCGTGCAGTTACTGGGACTACCACAAATTAAATCAGTATTTAATTCTCAGGCAAATAAAGATGTAATCGAAACCTTGATTCTTGTTTTACAATGTGAAGTTATGTCTAAATCACTCCAGGACTGCATTTAACCCTTACCCAGTTCAGAAGTTGATTATTATCTTGTCTTCTCCTAGTCATATCATCTAGAAAGTCTCCTGGTGTTGGCCAAAATGCTAAAAGGACACTATCTTCAAAGCCAGGTGAACTATTTCATTTGGCTAGCGACACTGGAGTTGATGTAACGCTGTAACTCTTGTTGTTACTGTATAGTGATCAAATGTAATGGTGAAGGTTCATCTTTCCATTCAGTCCTTTGTTCCTACTTGCCTTCCTTCATTCCTTCATTTCTTTGTTCCTCTCTTTCTCCATTTCTTCAATAAATCCCATTGTTCTTTTGTTGATGAGTTCATTTTTTCATTCTTTCCTTGCTTTTTTTTTTTCATCTTTCTTCCATGCATTTGACATTTTCTCTTCTTTTCTTCCCTCCCATCTTCAATCCTTGCTTCCTTCATCTATCCCACTTTCTCTCTGTTGCTCCTTTCCTCCCACCTTCTAGGCTCCATTCTGTCTTTCCTTTTTTCGTCAGTGCGTGTGTTTGTTCCTTATATGTTCATACTCTTACCCAGTCGATATTAACGGGTCAGATTTGATTGTTTCAAAGAGAAAGTGGTCTGGATCGAGTGGAGCATGCAGGAAGGTATGGGACCCTTCTCATGACACCCCGCATGCCTGAATCCACGCTAGTATCCAATCTTCTCTCCCCCAATACCTGTAAATAATGACTGGGTACGAGTCTGTCATTTGTTCACTTTATTAATCAAGCTTCTGATAGTTAGGAAGGATTCAGTTGAATGCTAAAATTTCTGTTTTGTCTAAGTGATTTTTGAAATCTGGTTACTTTGTTTTAGGCATCTATACAAAGTACAAGCAACTGCTCACAAAGGATAAACTTATTTTTAGAAGATTAAGCAAGGTGTGTATATTTTAGGCTTATCTGTCTCATCCAAGGTCAACTACAGCATGACAAGATGATTATTGTCCATTTCCAGGATAAAAAAGGCTGCATATGAGCCAAGTGACCCGTCAGGCCGGAGATTATCCCGGTTTCTGTAGCATGAAGCGACTAGGGGTATTTCTACTCCCCCCTGGATGGGATGCTAGTCCATCGCAGGGTTAACCACCAGCATTAAATTCGCCGGTACCCATTCATACACCTGGGTAGAGAGAGGCACTGTTAGAGAAAATTGTCTTGCCCAAGAACANCAACAAAAAACCGAACTTGAAAGATTACTGGCATTAAATGAACGACAAAGTGAAGTAACTAAATAAATGGGAATTCTTTTTTCAGTTAAAATATTCTAGATGGGTTGCAGATATCTGGCTTTAAACTTAAGCCCATTGAGGCGGCATCCACACTACGCCGGAGAACTTTGAAAACGCAGCTTTTATTTGTACGGTTAGGCCTACCGTCCACACTAATCCGTCATGAGAACGGAGCTTTTCGAAAACGCTCTTCAAACCAGTCGGAGGAATTTGAAAACACCGGCTTTGCATTTACGTGTGGACGGAAAACATTTTGAAAACTGAGCTTTTCGAAAATGATGGCGTCGCGATAATCACGTGATTTCCTTGATTTCCAAATCCAAAATGACCGGTGATTGTTGCGTTTTTAAATTCCTCCGGCATAGTGTGGATGGGCCAGAGAGTTAGAAGGTTTACGTAGCTTGTACTTTTTTGTAGGTTCTCTTCTTCAATTGCCTCCGATGTGTAGGCCTTCCCGCATATTTTTCTTGTGATAAAATCATAAATAACTCTCTCTGTAGCGATTTGACACAGAAAATTTGGAACTTGACCTCCACGTTGTATTGTTACCATAGGAAATTCTTCAAATCTGCAAACTTTGAAGGTTGGTTACGACATCGGCAACAAGAGATAAGACAGAAGCTGGAAATTCTTCATTTGGAAGCTCTTGGAAAGGCTGTGAGTTACTCTTGGGATCAACGAAGGATTTTCATGAAACTAATATCTTTTTTCTGTTGAAATGGGTTGTCTTAGCGCAAGCAACTCCGTACATCTCTATTAATAATTAGATTATGAGTTCGAGATTTCTATCTCGTTGCGCGCTCCTCAACTATCACGCATAGAAATCGAGAGCGAATAATCTGATTGTTTTAGTATAAATCTACTAGTCGTTCAAAACTTTATCTAAATGAATTCTCTTCACAGACACCTCGAAAACTCAAAGAGGCGGCCGTCATTTTGTTAACAAGCGCACACTGCTACGCTACTCACTATCTACAACAGAATAGATAGTCAGTAGCGTGGCCAATCAGAGAACGGCATTGGTGATAGAACGCTAGCAGACTTAAACTAAGTTATAAACTAATTTACATCTGTCCTTATTAACTTCATGTTGATAATTGGCTAAAGTGTTTCAGCTAATTGTTCTAGTGCCTCTTATAATAAGGTAATATACTTTTGGCCAGTGGAGAAAGTTGTGATGAGTCGAGAATAATGTCACAGATTCTTTAGCCAGGGAATGATGATTCCTCTCGCAAATTCAATGTTGCTTTTATTACTAGACAAGTTTACTTATTTTCTGTACGTTTTTCTTAGGATGTTCCTCGTTGGATCAGAGACAAGCAGGAGGTGGAGATCGTTGATTTGTTCTTGCAGATCAAAGAGAAGCTGGTAAGTGCGATTTCTCCTTTTATACCATGCCATAGAAAATACAGCCAATCAGAATACAGCGAAGCCGTTGTATTTTCGACGGTACTACATCCAACCTTCCCATCATGCACCGCACGTATGTCGCATTAATCAGTTGCATTGACCACTGTATTTTCTATGGCGTGGTATAAAAATATGGTATAGTTAAGCAGCGCTCCCTTGTGGTATACCACTGGAACATCCCACTCGTTGAAAATGCAAGAGACTCGTGGGATAATCCATGGTATACCACTCGAAAGTATTGCATTACTAGTATGTATTTTACTTCGTTCTGAACTAAGTTTCGTCTGATATCGTCAAGGTAGAAATGATGAATAAGTGATATTCTTTGACATATCAATCGATGATGACATCAATGCCACATTGAAGACACTTCTGATGTCAAGGTAACCCATTTTGGTGCTAAATACCATGGAGGTATTACCTTCATATGGTACTGTTCATGTGGTACTAACCTTGAAGTCTGTGGATGAAACCTGAGTAGATGAAACTCTAGTGTGTGAACATTCAAATGAAAGCTATTGAGCAGTACTTTCATGTGGCACTGTTTATTATGCTGTAAAAGGTGGTTCTAACTTTTAAGTCTGTGGATGAAAAGCTATTGGGTAGTATTTAATGTTTTTTTTTTTTTAACTTTGAAGGCTGGTTCGGCGTCTTTCTACCCTCCCGTGAGCCTTGAAATCAAACAACAGCTGAAAGGACACCTATTGTCCATTATTAGAACTCTTCCGGAAGATCTTCAGTTTGTTTTAAAGAATAGTTGACAGAGAAGCGGTGGTTTGTATGAAGAGTGAGTCTTGCGGTTGGTCGAAGATTCTCCGTCCCTTCGCTTCTTGTGGCTGGAGTAAGATTGGCTTTAAACGTCTCGACCATCGTCATTTTTACGATGAGATATAAAGGCAAGTGGGATCGCTTAGGAGTGCCGCTATCGACATGGCGTGAAATTTGGTGTCATTGGGCGCAAACGTATTTCAGTTCTCGTTAAGTTTGCCTTTCCTATGGACAGGCTGTTACAGTGCGACCACTGGAACCGGGCCACCAAGAAGAAAACTAACCAATTAAAACATAAACTGAGAACAATGGACTGATAGCTTCTCGTGACGGCAAGTAACGGTTTGTTTGGAGTGACGATGTAAACACTATCGACTCCCCTGCATGTCTCATTCGAAAAATTTAGCTTGAAAACTCATTTTGCGACAACTAAACCAGAACCGTTGAAAAACGGACAAAATTTAGGATCGAAACTAACCAATCAACAAATGGCAGAGTTTCTTGAAAGGTTCGTAACACTTTGCACTTTGTTGGGTTTTCAATTTTGTTAAGATCTGTTGTTCGTGTTCTTCGATGTTATTGGTTTATTTGAGGAAAAGATTGCTATCCTTTGTTCTCAAGTAACGTTCTGATTGGTTAACTCTTTTCCAAGTTGCCCGGTTCGAGTAGTCGCACTGTAATTCACTTGACTGCAGTGAGTGATGAATATCCTCAGGGTATCATTTCAATTGATGTTTTCTTCATATTTTCGTGCTCAATTTTCCGGCTAAAGAGAGATCTTAAGATTAGACCTCATTCTCACGACGAGGCTTAAAATTTGTGTATAGCTTCCCTGATTGGTCGTTACCTCACTCTCAAGAACTACGTCATCAGTGTAGAATTTTTCGATCTCAAACGTCTCATAAAAAGCGCGGGAAAACTTCAGCGCGGGAAGGGAGACATTATGCAAGTTTCTCCGATCCAATCCTGTAGACAAGTTGGATTGTGACGCAACACCCCTCTTGCAAAGAGGACTACGATTTTAGTTTTCCATCAAGGTATAACTAAAAGATTGGTCGTACAAGCCATTTATATTTTTTT